GAGAAGGTCATTGGCCACACTCAGAGCCAGGGCTCAGCATTGCCAAAATTCAGCCCACGCTTTCAGATGCAAAAACCTGTGTGTCCTCCAAAACGAAATCCTGTAATAGGAAATCCATTTTATCTGAAAGTCCTTTCCATCCTCTAGCTGGAAGGTGACAGGGAAAAGAAGGGCTGAACATTTAAAGGGATAAGAAACCTAAAACTCATTCTAACCGCACTGTGAATCGCCTGCCTCCTTCTCAACAGAATCAAGTACATAGACTCCACATAAAAAAAGGTCAAGGAGACAAGAGCCCACAATGGAGAATGGCAATGAATTTCAAATTTTCAACAAAACTCCCACCCCTAGTCAGAAGACCCACAGAGATGACAATGAATACCTGGGTAATTGGAAAGCACACTGCTGAGCCAGGAAGTAACCAAAGGAAAAGTGAAAACTAAAAACAAAAACATCTCCTTAGGTATTTACAGACCACAATACTTTCCCTTTATAAAACTCAAAAGAGTTTTTAAGCAGAGAACCAAGCTCTTCTTTTGAAAGAAGCAAAGTGACCAGGGAATTTCCTCTCCATTATTAATCTAATAACTTTGATTTCACGTTGTTTGCCATTAGGATAACAATTTCTGCTTTCTATCACCTGAAGGTCCCCACCATCAAACCATTAGGTCTGATAAAAGATTCTGGAGACCACAATCATTTAACATGAGTTTCTACCTTTTTTTTTTTTTTTTTTTGGTGGGGAAGTACTGAGGATTGAACTCAATGGCTCTCAACCACTGAGCCACATCCCCAGCCCTATTCTATATTTTATTTAGAGACTGGGTCTCACTGAGTTGCTTAGTGCCTCACTTTTGCTGAGGCTGGCTTTGAGTTCATGATCCTCCTGCCTCAGCCTCCCAAGCTGCTGGGATTACAGGTGTGAGCATGGGTTCTTCTCATTTTAAAGCAGAATCATAGGTTAATAAGATCTACCAGATTACTCCTGTAAAACAAAACAAAAAAGGTGGGGGGCTAGGGTTGTGGTTCAGTGGTGAAGCACTCACCTAGCACATGTCGGGTACTGGGGTTCAATCCTCAGCAACACATAAAAATAAATAAATTAAATGGGAATATTGTGCCCATCTACAACTAAAAAATATTTTTAAAAAAATTATAGGCCAAAAATGAGGCAAAACACTTCAAATTGACGAGTCGATAAGTGATAGAAGAAAATTTTATAGGATAATAAGAATGTGTAAAACACTGGAAGGTCTAGATTTTAAAACTCTTATTATTTGGGAAACACAACATGTAGCTTAGAAGTAGTAAAACCATACCAGAAACACAGATTATTAAAGCATTTTACTTTTTGTCTAGCACATTAGCAGACTTGGGCATTCTTAAGCTATCAATGACATCTAATATCTGAATGTACACGTATTATATGTGAAAGCCACCATAGTAGATGATATTGGAAATGTTAGAAACATTCAGAAAACTTTCCTTTGTCATTTCCATTTCATGAACACTAAAGCTTAAAATTGAATTATGCACACATGAAACTCTGGGCATACTATGGTTCCAATGTACAGATCATCGAAGCCTTTAGAAGTAGATAGAGGTTCTTAAATATTACAAAAATCAAATCTAACTTGTCTTTTTTCCCATACAAAATCTAAGGCAGTTTTTCACTTTTGTTATTTTAAATTTTGATCTTCTGTAGCAAATGCTGTTCAAGGTTTTTGAACCATGCATTTTGGCTGTGAGTCTGTGTGTGTTTAAACAAAACTCTATATGAATGTTATTCTAGGAGCAGAGACTCAGCTGAGAAAAGCAAGAAAACAGACCTGCAAGGACACGCAGTGGAATGTGCATGGTTTGGCTGAGAGGCTCACAATCAAGAACAAATTACACCACATAATAGCTGGAAAAGTTAATTAAGTCAACTTAACCAATAATTTCACCAATAACAAAACTTTTTTGTTTGTTTGGATTTCAACTGTAACATGGAAGATGGGAGAGAAATCGCATACATTACATTCATTGGGTTCTTGGCGCTGAATTCATCTTTTGACTGTCCAGTTATAAACTGAAGCTCAGAGCTTTGTAAAGAAAGCATAAGAAACCCCTGGAAGCAGGAGCAATCAGTACTACATGTCATAGCATCCAAATAATTCTATTTTCCATTCTGTGAATAGCCTTGGAGTAGGGATCCAGGCATTTCTGAAATGTTTGTAGAAAGACAAACAGACAGACTGACAGACAGATGAATGGATGAACAACAGCCATAGCAATGGTAGCCACCATCCCGCGCATGCATACACACACACACACACACACACACACACACAACACACCAATCTTTGAAAGTCTGCACACTATGAGCTCTGAACTCAAACAGGGCACAGGACCAAAGCCCACACACTGGTTCATGGCCAGGGCAGAGAGAGGGGGAATATGTGGCCAGAGAGGGAGCTTGCAAAACAAAGAGGCTGTGCGGTTCCAACGATCCACACCCCTTTCCATAGTCCCAAGACTGTAAAGAGACTCTAAATAGTCAGATGAAAACTATAGAGTACCCTGTAAAAACAATCATTGTAATTATTAGCATTCACCCAAACAAAGAAAAAGTTTTATTTTCCTTTATTTTATTTATTCTTTCTGTTTTTAAATATGTTTGCTCATTTTACTAGAGTCCTCCTGTCAGGCTGAAATCAGTGTTTTAAAAACACCATTTCCATTTTTCTTTTATTTGGTTGTAACTCTGTTGTCCAGTATTGAAAAGTGGTCAATCTCTTAGAAGAAACAGGAACACTGAAAAAACAGTCAGGGCTCCCAGGATTTCTAGGACAGCTTTCATTCAGGTATGTGCCCTGCAAACTTGACTAATGAGTGTTTGCCCTAAATGGGACAGGATTTATAGGAGGAGATGCAGGCTTCAAGGGCACAGGCTGACAGGGCAGGAGGCCAGTGGAGTGTGGTTTAGGAAACAGGTCTGTGATTATTCCAAACTATGGGACAGGCTTTTGTAAGTCATGACTGCTCCTTCTCTGACTAGTTTTCTCTGGAACCTTCCTGCCTGCCATGGGGCTATTCTGATTAATTCTGTTGCCAATAACCCTCACTGGTGTCATGAGGGGAACCTGTGGTCAAAAAGCATTTCAAGACAAATGCAGCAGCAGTAAAATATTTCCTGAGCATGTGTCTGGTATGCAAGCAGCAGAAGCAAAGCATCTTCCTAATAAGATATTACTGAGAAGACTCTGCTGGCATTCATGAGCAGGACAGTGGCTCCTGCAGGCTGCACACAGTGCAACAACATCTTCCATCATCTTCCTTATACACACGTGTGCTCACACATACAACATACACATGCTCCCCCATTATCTCACTCACCCCGACTCTTTCTCACTCAACCACACCCATGAATGCTTACCCATACTTACACAAACTATGAAGACAACCGGAAGATGCTGTTTCATGAAGCAGAAAGCTCTTACCCTACCAAATTGCTATTAAAATTACCAGATAACCAATACTGTGTGTATTGATTCCACTTCTGAAATAATAAATTGGCCTAATTTTTAACAATTGCAGGAAAAAGAAATAGGATCGCCTATTTTTTAATGGGAAATATGCTTTTCATAACCACATTGGAAAAACAATGCAAATATTCTAGCTCAATTAAAATAAGCTCCAGTCCTGAATTTGAACACCACAAATAAAGGGGGCAATACAGACATATGTTTGCATATGCATATGTAAAGTAAACTTATTATTGTAACCCAGACTTAAATATATGTCCCGAAAGATCAATGCAAAACTGGACTCATTAGTTAGCGGGTTCACCAGCCAGTCAACTCCCTCCCTTCCCTGGCACAACAAGAAGCACCCACTCATGAAACCAGGTGAAGGAATGAGACCAGAAGCACAGACTCAGAGTGGCAGCCAGGCTCCTCAGGAATACCTATCCTCAGAGGCGAAGGTTTGGGCTGCAGTTAGTTACACTCCAGAGAAGATTCTGACTCTCCAATTGTACATTAAAAAAAAAAAAAAAAAAAAAACCACTGTAATTCAACCTAGTAAAATCCTTCTTGGAATAAATAAATTATAAGCCTACAGGCAAGGAGGGAGCAGGTTGGCTCATGCAAATCAGTGAGCCCAGATATACAGTATCCAGGAACTTGGAGAGCAGGTCAGCTCATTCATCCTAAGGGCACATAGAGAAGTGGAGTGAAACTCAGGGAGGTCAGGAATGGCTGTGAAATCTACAAAAAGCAAAGGCCTTACTTAATAGTCTGCAAGGATGAAAAAGCCTGCAAAGGAAGCAAAGGTTACCACTAACCTATTCAGTCTGTTCTTACCACAGAGGACTCTGGAATTTATTTTTTGTACTCCATGCTTCAACTGAAATGCCTCTCAACACTTTGCTTAAATTGTAAAAACACAGCAGACAGAAACAGTGACTCTGTTATCTCTGAGCACAATTAAGTAAATTAAATTTATTGAATCCAACAACAAAACCCATCTCAAGGTACTCATGCTACCTTGAGGTTCAACTTTTAAATTTTAAAATCCTTTAGTAGAGACTACTTAAAATTTGCTAGGGGGAGACCCTGACACTAATTTTGACAAGACAACTTTTGTGTCTTTTGTAGAAAACTAATTATTCCAACTCATATAGACTTTCTATGTGAAATGCAAAACATTTTGAACTCTTGCCAGACTAATCAAGATGATTTCCAAAATGCCAAAACAGGAACTTCCTATAATAAATAACCTATCACATTTACATCTCAAATTAGAAAATTTGGAAGAAAACGTGTAGGTTGGGTGCCAAAATAGAGATTACTAAAGCCTGCCCATTCCGCACACCCCCACCCAACCCACCCATTGGCTTTCTTTTGCCTCTCATAGAACAAACACCGGTCCAGGTGCAAATGCTCAATTCCCAAGGAATGCAGAGAACATAAAAATGACTGCAGGCTTGGCCGCTGGTAATCCCTGTGGCTGCTCACCATTGGAAGTGGTGCTGGAGGCCACGGCTTTCTCGCTGACATCTGTTCGAGTGGAGCATTTCACGATGGAATTCTCGACTTTCTTCTTCTCAGTGTTCGTGGAGCTGTGGGACTGGGCCTCCATGATGTCTTCTCATTACTTCAGCTGTCTTCTAGGAGGAACGCCTACAAAAAGCCACAGTGCCATCAGAAACGATGGAAAAGAAGACCTCACTCAAAAGTGCCTGTCGCATGTTGCCTGAGAAGAACCCAGAGCTTTAGCAAAAACTCAACATCTGAACAGCGCTTCTCCACAGATTTTTCAGGCGATCATGCTTTCAAGTCTTAACAATCCAGTCAAATGTTGTCCACGCATGCACAAGGAGAACAGAGGGAAATAGCCAAAATGTGGAAATTTTTCCCATGATCTAAATATCTCCATCTCCAATTGTGTTTACAGTATGAAACTCAAGTGCCACATTCCTCTTTTAAGCCATGTCTACAAAAGTCTCTACAGGCAGTCAATTTTACAGGAAGGGGCATCAGGACAACTTCCAAAACAGGGAAGATATTTTTAAACTATAAATTAGATGTTTCAAAGAGTGTCCCACAATTTCTCATAAGCATACTCGATCGACTAAAAGTTCTGAATCAGAGGGTGATTTAGCTAAACCGACAGTGATCTTTCCTATGTTCATGAAGATATCTGAATTGCAATGTGCTTCTTAATTCAAAATCGTTCAGGTAAACCATATTCTTTAAGCCTTCTTAAAACATGAGAGTGTTTCAGTTCATTTGAATTACATTTTTATAACAAAGGTAATAGAACAGCATGCTCTCAGTTCCACGAGGAAAAGTCAAAAGATCATCGAAAGCAAAGACTGGGATCATTTAGGAAATATGAAATCTAAACTAAAGACAAGTTCAGTTGTCTGTCTTTCACTAGCTTCATTCATGTGGTAATTGCTCTAACTCATCATTCATCAATTTTCACTCTATTTAGCTCATGTTCTCTTTTTTGCAGCAATGTTCTACACCTACAAAGAATACAAGATGAAAAGTCCCCTCTCTGGCATGTTTTCATGTTTTCTTCGAGCTATCTAGATTGCAACACCCATGGTAGGCATTTCATCTGTCTAGTCATCTGCTTATTTTTCCACATTTACCAGACGCCACAGTGTTCAATCAAAACAGTGATTACTGAAATAAAAGAAGCAACTGCTTAACTGGCTCAAAAAGTTAAAATGCCAGATGAAATATATTTAGTCACTTTTAACTCATATATGCAAGGGAACTGCAAATTCTTTAACATACAATAAATTCCCCTTGACCTGGATTTCAAGTAACCAGAAGGCTTAAGAACCAGAGGCCACATGGTACTGTGGGCAATGGCTCCTCCACTAACTTCCATTTCTTTTTTGAGATTATCCAGTGTCATTCATTGGAAAACACACAAGTTATTTAAGAACAGCTTTTGTAGAATAAAAAAGAAAAAAAGAAGCACTAAGTTAAATTTACATATCAATTGTAAGATCCACTCCAAATTCAGATACATCCTTCAAAGAGCACTGACAAAGGGTAGGACAAGTGAAGGGTCTGCAGGCGCCCCGCAGCAGGGCTGCCACCAGGTCCAAGTCCAAAGGCCAAGGCCATCTAAATGGTGACTCTGGAGCTGTCCAGCACTCAACCTCCAGCAATCTGTTGCCAAGCTTCCACTGTCTCATCTTTCAAATGACAGAATCAGACAGTAGCATTGGATCCTTTCTTTTCCCCTCCCGCTTTGGGTTAGAAGAAGCACATCCTTTTTCAGAACATGCTAAAAGTTAAGGATCTTCTTCCTAGAAATATCTTGAAATGCAAAATGTGTGCATTTCATTTCCAAGGGATAACAGACCCTCTGAAACTTTTCCATGAGTCCAGATACAGAATTCTTAAAAGATAACTCTGTGATGTTCCCGCTAGCTCTAACAATCCCAGAATTATTCATTACCTGATTTTTAATGCTTCCCAAAAAAACTAATTTAAATATCTTCTTTAAAGTATGTCATGAGTGGCTGGTGTAGTGGCACATGCCTGTAATCCCAGTGACTCAGGAGGCTGAGGCAGGAGGATCACAAATTCAAAATTAAAAAGTAGGGGCAGGGCTGAAAATGTAGTTCAGAGGTAAAACATCCTGGGTTCAATCCTCAGGGAAAAAAAAAATTAAAGAAAGAAAATTAAAGTATGTCACAAGTACAACTCAACCTTGTGAACATCACTGTTTGTCACAGTGGTACAGGAAACATTTGCACCAGTGTTGCAATAGTGCTTACCAGGTATTCTGACTCCCACATCCACTTCCAAGGCAATGCATCTGTCTTGGAGGGTGGCACCTGGGAACATGTATTTTAACAAGCACTAATTATCAGGCTCACTAAAGCTTTTAAACAGTTGCTCAACATATTTAATTTTGCTCTCTGCTTTAGATGGGTAAAAGAGAGCCTCATGGAATCCTTCAAGAACTAGACAAATTCATGAACAAAGTGCATCCAGAATACTAAATTCGCACCTTACACAAACCTATCTCAGCACACAATGATAAACTTTTCACCTAGATAAATCTTTACAGAATGTCCATCTCCCCCTCTAGGCTGTAAGCCCCACCAGGACAAGGCTTCTGTCTTCCCAGCACCTAGTACAGGGAAGATTGTTTAATTAGTAAATAAATTATCTCATTGATGTCTCTGTGACTTCAATGAGTCTGCAGTATCTTGATTTTAGTCACCACTGAGTTAGTTATGTACATTTTATTCTATATCTAGTGTTTCCTTTAAAACAGGCAAATGTAAAAACTAAAATTTTAACAGGAATACTTCATCAAAATACTCTATTCTTAACCACTGATAAATAGGCACTTAACCATCTCTGCTTCTTCCAAAACCCAAATACGGTTTTATTAGTTGAATTTGAATATAGTCTACTGTTAAAACTGCACACGTAAACATGTAAGTGGCCCCGAAAACCCCATTAAGAGATGGAGTTTCTAGAAAAACTAAGTTTTCTTCCTTAGTAGAGGAAGCTAATTAACAGTAGTGAGATAAGTCACCAAAGTTCCTTGACAAACTTGGTTTTTGTGGAGTTGCTGGCTTTTCCCCCAAGGCAAAGGACTTCATTTTAACAAAGCAATAAAACCCTCCCAATACTCATCACCAGAGAGAGGGTCATGTGAGAAGAGGTAAAGCTCCAGGCGCTGCCTGAAATCACACTAATTAATGGTCTAAAAGAATACTAATTCCTACCCCTGTTTGAAATGGATTTTTTAAAAAAAATTAGGCCCTTGGTCACTCAAGAGTCTACCCCCTTCTTCTATTTTGACAACTCATTTTTGGATCTCATTAGTTAGTAACTAATTATTTAAGTGTGGTTGATGCTTGAAATGGGGCTATAAAAATGGCAACTTGCCAAAGCAGACATCTGCTTCCTGTATATCCCTATAAATTATATCAGTTTATTTTACTGATAAAAACATAATTTTGTTTCTGTCTCTTATCAAGAGAAAGTTTTAACATTTTGGTAACTCACACCTCATCAAACTGTGGAGGAAAACCAATGAGCCAAAAAATGTGGCTGCTTCTAGCTGAGGTGGTGGCTTTTCACAGGACAGTAAGAGCTTTGGAAACTCAGTCCTGAGTCAATTCATTAAAGCATTAGGAATAGAAGTGACCAGTAAAATGTTCTGATGGAATCCTAACCCACAATGGGTTCCATAGCACTACTCTTAAAGCCTGGTTTCTTAAATAATAAAGTTTAACTTATTTAGAACATTAGTATCAAGACAAAAAAAAATTTAAGCTGTGGTCCACTTCAAAGACTTTTCTCTGAAGGAAACATGCCACTGTTTTTCAGATGTGGATGAAAGGAGACATTTTCCCGCCTGATACAGTTTCCTTGCTTACAACTCCATACAGTTCCCCTTTAGTCCCTTTCACCATTGAAACATTACATGAAAGATTTGCAACATGCCCCTTGACTTTTTGTGCTTAAGGGGGGAAAAATGTAGCTGATGTTTGAGTCTCCAAACTTGAGTACACGAAAATTAAAACAAAAAATACATAAACCTGCAACCAATAAAAAACTGTTCTCCTAGTATATTACTCCTAAAATTTTAAGTTTCGTAGATTAAAAAAAAAAAAACCATGAGGGATGAGAATTCTCTCTTGGAAACAATCCAGACTTTTCCTACTTAACTATCACTGAACCTTTTGTAATTCCTGAAGTCAAAACCAAGGGCACAATTCATTCCAGACCCTAGTTTAACCTGCCTGCAGGTGGGTGTTTTCTTTCTAAATGATAAATCTAAACGTACATCAGCCTCCAAGGCACATAAAGCTTCCTGCAGCCACAGACCGAGTGATGCTGTAAAGCAGGTTCCCCTTGGAAAATGAGCGGTGGGGGGCGGGAACATTTCCTAAATTCGAGAATTCTTAAGGGGGACCTACGTTTTAAACCAAACTTTCACGCAAAACACTTCAAGAGGTCTGCTTTAGAGTCGCCATTGAGTGATGCAGGGGGGGCGGAGGGGGTACCCCCAAACAGAAACTCTCATCTTTACAAAGACCTTTATCACGCCAATTATTCTGATCGGGCTGTGTGGTTATGTTCTATTTTGTTTGAACGGTCTCTCACTTCCTGTCCGGTCACCTCGGACGGTTGCAATGCACGTTTTTCACACCTTGAACCACTTTTCCCCGCGCCTGGGTCCCCCGCGCCTGCGTCTTAATTCCTCTCTGGCTGTCCCTCTCCGCAGCAGCGGCGCGGCCAATTCATTAGCAAGCGCCGAGCCCGCGCAGCGCCGTCTGAGCGCGATGTCGCCGCATCCATCATCATTACATCAGCGCGGGGAAGTCCACGCCGAGTGCTCCCGGCCCCTGGCGCGCCCCAGCCAGCGCGCCGGCAAACAGAGCATGGTGAATTTCTCAGAAATAGCTCTGGGTATCTGGGGGCAGAGGAGGTGCTCCCAGGCCCCGCTTTGATCCACATTCCTGAAGCTGCCTTTCGGGAGACAATGCATGTCCGGCAGCCAAGCCGCGGGAAAGGAAAAAACACTGGCGGGCAGGAGCGGGGGGCGGGGAGGCGGAATAAGGGGATGGGAGGGGGGGGCGGTGTCTAGAGCCAGCAGAGCCCGACAGTCCCTCTGTAGCGCACAG